CATGCCTACGATTGGTCAGCCGATGGCGGGGGGGGGGGTGGGTGGGGGCGATCCGGTCTGTCGTATCTTTTCAGAAAGATGATTATATTGCCCATAAAGTACGCGGTGTGTCCCGTTAGTGGGGTTATTCTAAAATTGCATTTTTGTTTTACTTGGTGATCTGAACTCCTTTGTTCGTTCAGCACATCACCGAAAGAAAGCAGATGCCCATGAATACAGCTGCCGGGAGCGACGCATAAACGTAGTTTATTAAATATGATGTACTATGAAGGCTGCGGTCGTCAAAATTATGATTACAAATTCATAAAACTGCTTTTTCAAAGTCATGAATTTGAAGGCTTCATTCATCAAATTGGGATAAAAGCCGATTCATAAACCTGCCTTTTAAAGATGGTAAATTGTTGAGGCTTCGATCATTAAAATGATAATAAAGAATGATAAACCCGCTAATGCAGGCTTGTAAATTGTGGAGGTTTTGTCCATTAAAATGATGATAAAATGATAATAAAGAATGATGAACCCGCTAATGCAGGCTTGTGAATTGTGAATGATTCGTTCATTAAAATATTGGTTAAATAATATTCATGAACCTCTTTATGGATAATGGTATTATACATTGGACAGGTGACACGAAGCAAAGATGGGCGCCAGACTTTGTAATCGTTTGTGCATTCATTAATTATCATCAATATATTGGCATTTCAAGTGTAAGGTATAGTTCGATGCATTTTTGTCTCATGTTTTTATATTGTAACCAAATATAATGAAATATTGGAACACAATCAAAATCGAAAGTATTGCAATCCTTGATAAGAAATAGCCTTTCAAACATGAATACACCTCTACTTATTAATATTCCAGCCTCTGATTTTTCCAGTCAGAAAATTTCTAAATTGACTAAAAAATGATAATAACCATCTATTTGTCACAGATCTCACGCTTGCTGGGCTCACTATGAATATGGCTGACAAAGAAAGCGGACAAAATATACAGTTCCTCAGGTAGACAAAGGAACATCCCTTCACTGCTATTATGTAAAAATGTGTAGAACTGGGCCCCGTCTTACAAAGAGTTACGATCGATCCAAATCAATCGTAAGTTCTCCAATCAATCGCAAGTTTGCAGTCTCCTATCTCTTATGTACATAGTTACGATTGATATCAATCGCAAATAAGTTACGATTGATATCAACTCTTTGTAAGAGGGGGCCCAGGTGTCACATGCATATTCACATTTTTACATAATAGCAGTGAAGGGATGTTCCTTTGTCTACCTGAGGAACTGTATATTTTGTCCGCTTTCTTTGTCTGTCATGTTCATAGTGGCTACGCCCCTCGAAAAAAAGGTAATACCGTCACGTGGCTTGATGTTGCATTTGACGTCATTGCGGGCATGTCCGATTTGTCCTTCAACTAAGGATCTTACACTCTCATTGTAATTCATAAATGAAACGTACTGGGATTATCAAGTGCATATCATTTTTGGGATAAACGTTTTTTTTTCTTCAATAAATATCATAGTTTGCCCTTTTAAAGACATTCTAATGCCTAAATCACCCTACTTTTCACCGGAGAGGCTCCTGCAGTGACGTCATAAACAGTTGCGCAATACAGCTCTGAAACTGGGCCTTTTTTTGAGCGTTCTGAGCCGTCATTTTTAAAGCTAGATTCCGATGTGTTGGCTCAGTCAGTAGAGCGTCCGCCTCACAACCGGGAGGTCGTGGGTTCGAACCCCGGCCGCGTCATACTAAAAGACGTTAAAAGACGGGAGTTGCTGCTACCTTGTTTGGCGTTAAACAATAAGGGATAGAGCAATGTCGATCTGGCGCTGCTCAGTGGCTGCCGGGCTCACGATCAATTGGGCAAAAAGAATTTCCATTTTCGGTTTAATAAGATTTGGAGTGGACTTTAAAAGATTATTATTATTATTATTTTTATTATTATTATTATTATTATTATTATTATTAGAATTATTGACGTTCGGAATCTCCGTCAAAAATTATTCTACATGACCGTTTTGGTTAGAGTGGCCCTTTATTAAAAGAGAATAGCCGATTTGATGGACTTTTACCTTAGAAAGGACAGGGGCTTTACCCACGTGACCTAGCTGCAAACATATCCCCGTTTATGGCCCTACAATAACATGCTATCCATAATAAAGTGTTTGTATGATCTAGCAACAATTAATATTTGCAATGTGTATTTGATGTCTTGCTGACTTATAAAAACAGACAAATTGTAACGAAATTCATTTACAACTGTTACAGACACTGCTCTTGTCTCTTCTCACTCAGTCTCTCTCTCTCTCTCTCTCTCTCTCTATCTCTCTCTCGCCCTTTAACCGCCCATGCGTGCACACAAAGCATAGGTGATAGAAGAGAAGGAGTAGATGAATTCCAGTTCAATTCGTCTTCTATTCTACCAAATAATGACAGCTCAGTATTACAGTCGAGCAATCGTGCTTTGTATACTGGGCACTAAATATAATACTATCAGGACGCTAGCAAATTTGGAAAGCGGCAGCAAAGATTCGAGAAGAAGTCTATCGATTTGAGATCTCCCTGGCTTATATATAGGGAGCTATAATTAGTCTGTCTTCCAAGCAAGGATACAACGCGACCTCGAGCTAAAGAGCAGAGTCTGTCCTCAAACTGAGGACTAAGGGCGCGTTCATGCTTGATTTTGACGGCCAGAATCAGGCATCTGTTACGCGTTTAGTTTAAAACACGGTTGCGTCTTAGCTCACTTTTGTAGAATCACCGAAAAACGGCGATCACGATCGCCGATCGTAAACTCACAAAAAGATGCGTTTACAATTTGTAAACGCGTTTAAATGGGGTCAACGCACTGACCTCTAGTGGGTCTACGTAGCATGCACAGTGAAGGTTTGCGAATCCAGCTGGAAGACCAATTAAGGCCACACACGGAGAATTGCCTGGGGAGCCAGAGAAGTAAGCATGAACACTACATCGTGGAACTGCGATCACGATGAGCGTTTACGATGAGCGTTTCAGATCGCTCATTCTGCCTTCAAAATTTAAGCATGAACGCAGCCTAAGTCTGGCCTCCGCTCGGGGTTAGTCTGGGGCCGCACGCGACTGTCCTTGCCGTTACGTAAGACATAATCTTGTGACGAGCGTGGCCATGGGCTTACGCAAGAGGACGAAAAACAAGATCTTACAAAGAGGACGCGCAGGCACTGCCAAAACACATGTCGTAAATCTATAGGCCACAATTCACAAAGGAGGTTTGTCGACAAACCTAGGTTTATGCAAGTCATATGACGCGTTTTGACGCGTTTTGACAAACCTGGGTTTGTATATACAGGCCTAGGTTTGTAAAAACGCGTAAAAACGCGTAAAAACGCGTCATGATGCACATAAACCTACTAAAACAACTATCCGTAGCATCGCCTTCCGTTGGCCGGAAATTAAATAGATCACTTGGTCTTTTATGACAGAAATACCATGTGCATTCGATGACTAAATCGGGGGTGTTTCATCATGCCTTAAAATCGATCTTTAAATCGATCAGATCAATTTTAAGGGCCTAACATCCAAATCAATTTTAGTTGATGAAACATCCCCGGGCTAAAGTATTATAGTCCATAATTCTCGAAACGTGTCTACATTTCAATGATCCCATACATTATGAAAATCATCCGTATCATCGCCTTCCGTTGGGTTGAAATGAAATGGATCACTGGGTCTTTTCTGAGAGAAAGATTAAACGTGCTAAAATCCTTAAAGTGACTCGGTAACATTGTTGAAGGTTGATGAAAAAAATTGCTTAATTTTTGTATAAAATGTTACTTACTATATCCTTCTACTATACTTACCCTCTGACATGCAAAAAATCCTGAACAAATTCTCAAACCACAAAGATATCTATGGTTTTCTTTGAAGGCATCGATGTGAGGCACCCTCTAACAGTGATTAACAGTAAATTCTCCCAACCATTTTTGAATTTTCCCAACCGTTTTTCCATGAGAAAAATACATAAAACAGGCTATAAAAATCTGTCAACACTGAACTGTCTGGAATGGAATGTAGAGCCATTTTATTGCTTTGTGACGATTTACATTCACCTAAAATGTAATCAAATTGTCCTTGTCTTGATGCTGAACAGGCTTTGACAAGTAGCAGAATAGAAGTAGAATAATATAGTTGGGAGAATTAAGGAATCGATCAGATTAGTTTTTCCCAATTTGTACCATGAATAATGATCCGTTTTCACTCAAATTTTCAGATTATCTTTAATTGTACATCTAGCATTGAAGTCACTACCTTAGCACCACTATCTCTCATCTGAACAATGTTACAAAGTCCCTTTAAAGGGCACTCCAACCTTTGTGATCAGTTCATTTGTATGAAAGCAGAATAATTAGATAAACAGATTGGCGAAAGTTTTAAATAAAATAGATCAAATATGAGAGATAATCATGTTTAAAATATAGAATCACTATAAAAGCTTTGCGAATCTCAATTTCCTCCAAATTCTACCTTTGGGTATTACTCAAAATATATTGTGGAAAGCATAACCCTCTAGAAAGGAAAATACTCTCCCTAGTCATTTAATTTGAAATAAACGGTTTTTGTGTTGGAATGAATGGAAAGTTCCCATACGTATAGCGATGATTTAACAAATCATAATATTTTATTTGTATTGGTCTGATTTCCGTTCTGACTTTTAGTTTTAAAGTGTACTTTTTTCCAAATTGTCTGCATTTTATTACATTAGTTTGCTTAGATTTTTCTTAAATTATTTTTTTTATAGTGATTTACGTATCAGTGCTCGGTATAAATGTCTCACCTCCCTGGTGTAAAGGTCTATTCAGTTTACGCACACGTCCATGAACATCCTTGCCAACAATGAATTAAAATAATATCCCACTCTTTTTTCATGGTTATTTTGGGATAAACAGATTAAATTCCTAACGTTACTGAAGTATGCAACTAGTCTCTATGTTTATTGAGGTATGAAACCAGCCTTAAGATGCCATCAAGTATTAATAATGTTTCCTATAAATCGTCAGTCCCATGATTTAATCCTCATTTCTGTTTGCCTGATACGCACATCACACGTCGAGGGCCTTTCGTTCAAAAATCCTTTCCCCTAAATCTTCATCATGGTAAGTCGATAAATCTTGTCTCGTACATTTGTTGTATTTTGTAGAAATTGTAGTTAACGAACGTATCGAATATCTACTTCTTAAATTAGTCTAGAAAGTGATTGCTAAAATAATGAAGTCGAAATGATTTGTTTAATGATGAACACCATCAGTGGCGGATCCACTCATCGGCCAGATCGTTTCCTCCATCACCGCTTCTCTTCGATTCGATGGTGCCCTCAACGTCGATCTCACTGAGTTCCAAACCAACTTGGTGCCCTACCCACGTATCCATTTCTCATTGCTGCCTGACTACGGTGTAATGGTTGTCCTTATTTTGCTACCTGACTACGGTGTGATGGTTGTCCTTACATTGCTGCCCGACTACGGTGTACTTGTCCTTATATAGCTGCCCGACTACGGTGTAATGGTTGTCCTTATATTGCTGCCTGACTACGGTATGATGGTTGTCCTTATATTGCTGCCTGACTACGGTGTAATGGTTGTCCTTAGTTTGCTACCTGACTACGGTGTGATGGTTGTCCTTACATTGCTGCCCGACTACGGTGTAATGGTTGTCCTTATATTGCTGCCTGGCTACGGTGTAATGGTTGTCCTTATATTGCTGCCTGACTACGGTGTAATGGTTATCCTTATATTGCTGCCTGACTACGGTGTAATGGTTGTCCTTATATTGCTACCTGACTTCGATGTAACGGTTGTCTTTATATTGCTGCCCGACTACGATGTGATGGTTGTCCTTGTATTGCTGCCTGACTACGGTGTAACGGTTGTCCTTGTATTGCTGCCCGACTACGGTGTGATGGTTGTCCTTATATTGCTGCCTGACTACAGTGTACTGGTTGTCCTTATAAATGATTTCAAGGGGAGGCCCCTAGTTCTAATCTCTGTCTCTCTTCGTGCGATGTATTTTTCACACCTTTCAGAATTTATACAGTACTTTGCAATGTAACTTAAAATGCGATAGTTGCCAAAATTGTAGATCTGAATATCTGACTACCTAAAATCCCCCTTTCATTTACAGCGTGAATGTATCTCTATCCATGTCGGCCAAGCCGGAGTCCAGATGGGCAATGCCTGCTGGGAGTTGTACTGCCTGGAGCACGGCATCCAGCCTGATGGCCAGATGCCCTCAGACAAGACCATCGGAGGTGGTGACGACTCATTCAACACCTTCTTCAGTGAGACTGGAGCTGGCAAGCATGTTCCCCGGTGCATCTTTATGGATCTCGAGCCAAGTGTAGTTGGTGAGCAATAATTTGAATTCACAATAGTTATTTGTTTAAAGCGTACCAATCACCTTAAGAACATAAATTCTGTGTACCGTTAGAATAAATAAATCAACCGTTAAAAAATGTATATAGCTTTATATGGGAAAGAGGATAAGGAGTATGAAGAAAATAAAGAACAACATGAATCCGCGCACACAAAACCCAAATCGGACATTGGCTCAGTGCAGGCCTATTTATGCGTAGACGAATTCAATGAAAAAAGTTACCAACTAATTTCAAAATACACATTGAATACACACAATGGAAGAAGTACACATAAACAGTATCGTTTCCTTTTAATAGTAGACGATAAAAATTGTTATGTTATGTTTTTCCTAATTCAGATGAAGTCCGTACCGGTACCTACCGTCAACTCTTCCATCCTGAGCAGCTGATCACCGGCAAGGAGGATGCTGCCAACAACTACGCCCGTGGTCACTACACCGTCGGCAAAGGAGTCATTGATCAAGTCTTGGATCGCATCAGGAAGCTGGCTGACCAGTGCACAGGTCTCCAGGGATTCCTTCTCTTTCACAGCTTCGGTGGCGGCACCGGCTCTGGCTTTACCTCCCTGCTCATGGAGCGTATCTCCGTCGATTACGGAAAGAAGTCCAAACTTGAGTTCGCCATCTACCCCGCTCCCCAGATCTCCACCGCTGTTGTCGAGCCCTACAACTCCATCCTTACCACTCACACCACCCTGGAGCACTCCGACTGTGCCTTCATGGTCGACAACGAGGCCATCTACGATATTTGCAGACGTAACCTCGACATCGAGCGTCCCACCTACACCAACTTGAACCGTCTCATCGGCCAGATCGTCTCCTCCATCACCGCTTCTCTTCGATTCGATGGCGCCCTCAATGTCGATCTCAATGAGTTCCAAACCAACTTGGTGCCCTACCCACGTATCCATTTCCCTATGGTTACCTATGCTCCAGTCATCTCTGCTGAGAAGGCCTACCATGAGCAGCTGACTGTTGCCGAGATCACCAACTCCTGCTTCGAGCCCGCCAACCAAATGGTGAAGTGCGATCCCCGTCACGGCAAGTACATGGCCTGCTGTCTCCTGTACCGTGGTGATGTCGTCCCCAAGGATGTCAACGCCACCATCGCTGCCATCAAGACCAAGCGTTCTATCCAGTTCGTCGACTGGTGTCCAACTGGTTTCAAGGTCGGTATCAACTACCAGCCACCCACCATCGTCCCTGGTGGTGATCTTGCAAAGGTTCAACGTGCCGTCTGCATGTTGAGCAACACCACTGCAGTTGCTGAGGCTTGGGCCCGTCTCGACCACAAGTTCGATCTGATGTACGCCAAGCGCGCTTTCGTCCATTGGTACGTCGGAGAGGGTATGGAGGAAGGAGAATTCGCCGAAGCTCGTGAGGATTTGGCTGCTCTCGAGAAGGACTACGAAGAAGTTGGTACCGATTCTGCCGAAGCAGAGGAGGGAGAGGAAGAAGATGAATATTAGATTAAACCTGATTTTTTTTTTTTTTTTTTTTTTTTTTTTTTATTAATCACAAAATTTAAGTAGAAAAAAAAATTCCCGCTAATGAAATATCGAAAACAAACTAATACGACAGATATCGTTTTGTGAATAGATTGAACAAACATTATGAATTGGATATTTGCTTTACCTATTCTTTTACGCATGATCCACAAAAGATAATTATATAAATCATTAGTATATATAAATCATTAGTATATGTCAATAGAGTAGCATTATGAAAACCAAAGTAATTATTGAATATTAGAAAGATACCTCATAAAGTTTGCGATGATAGTATAGCTAGGATTGGCTTGATTAAATATTTTTTAAAGAATACCTTAATATACATCTTCTGCGTTAATTCATATCTGTGGTACCAACATTGTCAAATAAACATGGAAGTTTATCATCATGCCTCTCAATATTTGTATACGTTTTTTCCGATATTCTACCTACGGTGATGTATTTATATAAAGACATTTATTCAATTAAATATGTTTGATGACTTTAAATTCGTATATATCAGATAACTCATAAATGGAACAGAGTCAGGTATAGATTGACTACATTGATTTCAGTGGAACACAGTTTTATACACACTCTCCGTTGCGCCCTTGCCTGACAAAGTACCGATGTAGCACTAGATGGACAATTATTCCATGAGCTTGAGAGAGAGAGAGAGAGATACATTTGTAAAATGTGTGTGTTCATGTGTGACTTTGTGCGGGTGTGTGTGTGTGTGTTAGAGAGAGAGAGAGAAAGAGAGAGAGAGAGAGAGAAAGAAAGAGAGAGAGAGAGAGAATGGGAGACAGAAGGGAAAGAGAAAGATAGAGAGAAGGGGGAGAGAGGGCTAGTGAAAGACAGAGATACAGATGGAGGGAACGAGAGAAAACATCACGACAGTGGATAAAAAACGAGTTAATTGAAAATATTTTCGTTAGTACGAGTCTTCATGATGACCAAGCGGAAATCTTTTTTTCTCCTTGAATTATCTTTGATATCGAGTAGGCCCTAGATTTTTTCAGATCGAAAATTTGCCGTCTTTTCCATAGCCTATTTGGAGCCAGCATGGCATTACAAGGGCTTTATCTGCACAATCAATACAATATTAGCCAATTTACGCCCTTAAGGCTCTGACCAGACGATGCGATACTCGATTTACGAATAGATCTAATACGTGTTATAAATTACGTAATTTGTAGCAGGTCCACTAATGACGTATGTGTAACAGAGGCAAATATATTATATAATTTTTTTTTCTTCATTGTTTCACATTCCACAAAATAACAGTTTACATATTATTAAGGACAGCAAGATAAAGCATACTGACAAATAAAAAAAAACAATTATGGCAGTAAATAATCATTAACGTGAAATACGAGGAACCTACTACAAAGCAATGCTTGTACAATATGAAAGCACGTAAAATTTCTTTTAACCATGAATTATGGTCGTAATTATCTTAGGAAACTACTGGCAGAAGGAGGGTAAAACCAAAAAAATACCAGCACTACATATCTCTTTGGTAAAACAATCCAGTTGTTTAGTCACCAGCAGTGGTTTCTCTTTCTCTCTCTCTCTTTTTCTCTCTCCCTGTCTCTCTCTTTCTCTTTCTCTCTCTCTGTCTCTCTCTTTCTCTCCCTCTCTGTCTCTCTTTCTCTCTCTGTCTCTCTCTTTCTCTCTCTCTGTCTCTCTCTCTTTCTCTTTCTCTCTCTGTCTCTCTCTCTCTCTGTCTCTCTTTCTCTGTCTCTCTTTCTCTCTCTGTGTCTTTCTTTCTCTCTCTGTGTCTTTCTTTCTCTCTCTGTCTCTCTCTTTCTCTCGCTCTCTCTCTCTGTCTCTGTCTCTCTCTCTCTCTCTTTGTCTGTCTGTCTGTCTCTCTCTGTGTCTCTCTTTCTCTCTCTCCTTTCTCCTTTTTTCCTGTGGAAAAAACATCCAGTGGCAAAGAAAAACAAAAATGTTTACAAAATATCAGGGTTTATACTTTATAGGAATAAAAAACTGGAACCTGGCCTTGTATTGTCTGACAAGCAGACGACGCCATTGTAGGTCCTTTCTTCGCGTTCCCTGTTCCATCTCATTTCTTTCTTTCTTTCCTTCCTTCTCTCTCTCTCTCTCTCTCTCTCTCTAAATAAATAAATAAATGAATACATTTTGTTCTCACTATTTCATGTCTCTGTTTGATTATTCGGCATATAATTTATTGTTTTATCATGTTCGTGTACTTTATCTTACTTCCGTTTGTTTGTGTATACTGCATATGCTCTTATGTGATCTCTTTCTTTTTTCTTTTTTCTTTTTGTCTCCATTTTAAGTAGATTCGATTCCATACAAATCTCATATATTCTTCTTCTTCTTCTTTTTTCTTCTTTTTCTTCTTTATCTTCTTCCTAGTATTGATATTATTATTAATTATCTAAGCGTGTCTACATTTCAATAAGCCTATTCATCATTAAAGCCATCCGTATCATCGCCTTCCGTTGGGTTGAAATGAAATGGATCACTGGGTCTTTTATGAGAGAAAGATTAAAAGTTTTATAACTAAAGTCCTTAAAGGGCAATCCAACCTTTGTAATCAGTTCATTTGTATGAAAGCAGAAGAATTAGTTACACAGATTGGCGAAAGTTTTAAATAAAATAGATCAAATATGAGAGATAATAATGTTTGAAATATAGAATCACTAAAGTTATGCGAATTTCAAATTTGCAATTTCATCCGTGGATTGTAACGTATTCACAGACAGTTCTCCCGTTTGTTGTGTACTCAAATATAATTCGATTTTGTTTTTTTTCAAAGTGCCTTCTACCTTGGGGCATTTCTCAATGGTGGATAGCATAACCCTCTAGAAAGGAAAATACTCTCCCTAGTCATGTATTTTGAAACAAACATTTGTTGTATTGGAATGCATGGAGAGTTGTCCTGCACTATAGTTCCCATATACGTATAGTGATGACAACTTTTTTTAAAATCAAAACTTTAAACAAAAATTGTCCGATTTCGTTCTAACTTTTAAAAGTGTACTTTATTCAATTTGTCTACATTATATTACTTTAGTTTGCTTAGATTTCCCTTTAATTATTTTATAGCGATTTACGTATAGGTGCTCGGTATAAAGGTCCATTCAGTTTACGCACACTTCCATGAACATCCTAACGTAACAACGAACCAAATAGCCCACTCATCATGCGAAATGACCACTTAAAAAGATTGTCTTTTAATGTTATTTAGGTAAACAGATGAAATACCTTTAGTTACTGGAGTATGCAACTAGTCTCTATGTTTATTGAGGTATGAAACCAGCCTTAAGATGCAATGAAGTATTAGTTCTGTTTCCTATAAATCGTCAGTCCCATGATTTAATCCTCATTTCTGTTTGCCTGATACGCACATCACACGTCGAGGGCCTTTCGTTCAAAAATCCTTTCCCCTAAATCTTCATCATGGTAAGTCGATAAATCTTGTCTGACTCGTACATTTGCTGTATTTTGTAGTTAACACACGTATCGCTTGAATGTCTACTTCTTGAATTAGTCTAGAAAGTAATTGCTAATATACTGAAGTCGAATTGATTTGTTTAATGATGAACACCATTACTTCTTGACCCAAACTAGGTGTGGTTGTGGTTCCAGTACATGCATGCTCGAGTTTTATAGAGACAGGAAGCATTTTTCATTTTGCCGCGGAACATTCGGAACTCTTGATCATAGGTCAGAGATCCTCATTTCACCCATACATGTATAATCTTTTAGACCGCCTGACCGCCTGGCAATCAGACCAAATAAGTGATGGACCAGACTTTTTGGAGATTCGACCAAATGGAAATTCGACCAAGTGACTATTAGCCTAAATGGTCGTTAGACCAAATGATAAGACAAATGATTAAAACGATGAATGTTATAATTTGTTCTTGCTTTTACTGACATATCCATATTGGCACAATATCATCGTGGGACTCGCGTCTCTTGCTTGAATATCAAATTTCTTGTGTCTGATCTGTGCGAAAGACCGAAGGGATTAAACAAAATAATTACCAAACTCAAACCTCCTATGTAAATTCGGGCCATCATGTACACACAGCATTTTTTTTCTCGAAAGTAATAGAAGATCCATGTGTATGATTAAGAAATATTGCTGCCCGACTGCGGTGTTATGGTTATATTGCTGCCCGACTGCGGTGTAATGGTTGTCCTTATATTGCTGCCTGACTACGGTGTACTTGTCCTTATATAGCTGCCCGACTACGGTGTAATGGTTGTCCTTATATTACTGCCTGACTACGGTATGATGGTTGTCCTTATATTGCTGCCTGACTACGGTGTAATGGTTGTCCTTATTTTGCTACCTGACTACGGTGTGATGGTTGTCCTTACATTGCTGCCCGACTGCGGTGTAATGGTTGTCCTTATATTGCTGCCTGGCTACGGTGTAATGGTTGTCCTTATATTGCTGCCTGACTACGGTGTAATGGTTATCCTTATATTGCTGCCTGACTACGGTGTAATGGTTGTCCTTATATTGCTACCTGACTTCGATGTAACGGTTGTCCTTATATTGCTGCCCGACTACGGTGTGATGGTTGTCCTTGTATTGCTGCCTGACTACGGTGTAACGGTTGTCCTTGTATTGCTGCCCGACTACGGTGTGTTGGTTGTCCTTATATTGCTGCCTGACTACAGTGTACTGGTTGTCCTTATAAATGATTTCAAGGGGAGGCCCCTAGTTCTAATCTTTGTCTCTCTTCGTGCGATGTATTTTTCACACCTTTCAGAATTTATACAGTACTTTGCAATGTAACTTAAAATGCGATAGTTGCCAAAATTGTAGATCTGAATATCTGACTACCTAAAATCCCCCCTTTCATTTACAGCGTGAATGTATCTCTATCCATGTCGGCCAAGCCGGAGTCCAGATGGGCAATGCCTGCTGGGAGTTGTACTGCCTGGAGCACGGCATCCAGCCTGATGGCCAGATGCCCTCAGACAAGACCATCGGAGGTGGTGACGACTCCTTCAACACCTTCTTCAGTGAGACTGGAGCTGGCAAGCATGTTCCCCGGTGCATCTTTATGGATCTCGAGCCAAGTGTAGTTGGTGAGCAATAATTTGAATTCACAATAGTTATTTGTTTAAAGCGTACCAATCACCTTAAGAACCGGGCTTGATGGGCGTGGTGATCATCGACGGAGGTCCAGTTTACAGCGGCGTCATGAAGGAGCCATGCAGTGAGTAGACTGTCCGGAATTTTCGTTGATGATCTTACTCGAGCTGAGGAGCAAGGATTTTACTTCCTAGTTGTGAACTGTGTACATGTATTTATAATCATATTCTCTTTTTTTAATTATAAGTCGTTGTATTTGAAAATGAATGTCTTAGTATTTTATATGTCTATCTTTTTATTATGTTCACACAATGTCC